CCTCAACAAGCACAAGTCTGAATCGTTTCTATAATTCATTTAAAGATAGTTGATTTTTTTGTTGAGCTTTTTGCATACTGTATACTACTGTCAATGGGGATGTCTTTTATAGAAATAGTTTCCGCGAAAACACTTGTTGTTTTGCCAAAAGTCATGTTGATGTATATTGTTTAACTTGGGTGAGAATCAGACAGACACACGAATAATGCACCTCATGGGAGACAGGTGGCGCAGTGGACTAGTGCGATGGTGTTCAGATCAGGGGGTCACAGGTTCAAACCCCACTGCAGTCAGCATGTCGTTGTGTCCCTGGGACACTTCACCCCAAATTGCTCCTGTGGGGATTGTCCACAGTATTGAGTATGTTAGTCGCTTTGGATAAAAGCGACTAACAAGTGGCATGTCATGTAAAAGTAAAAAAGATATGGAAAGTCAGCGTCAATAAGTAAAAAGGTGACACCTGCACACTTCATATATGCAACAAAAGTTGTATTGACTATGTTTCAATCATACATGGATCTTCCGCTGGTCAAAAGGTGGTCGGATCAACATTTTGGTGCAGTAATGCATATTTTACCATCTAATCTAATCCAATCTAACAGCAATCTAATCCAATTTTATGCAATCTAACCCAAAACGCTAATTTACATATTGCGGGAAGTAAAACATTTATTTATAACCATAACAACATTCTTCGCATAAGCTAACCAAAGCAGTTTGAGGTGCCAAACGAAAGAGGTGGCAGATCAGAAAACGCTCATAAGAACCGATATATCTTAACATTTTGACATCTATGCTTTTCAAACAAACCTAATTCATGACAAAACATCAGGAAACACTGCATGCGTCATTTGAAAAGCTGCGTCATTTTGGTTTGAGAGTCATCCACAGGCACAGTAATCGTTCAAAATGAGTGCTTCCACTTACTTTTCATACACTTTTTACGTTTACCACTATATACATGGCATTTGCAGGTAACCTGTATATATAATGAAATGTTTATGCATGCACAGAAGCCACGTCTGCTTTTCCCTTTGGTCATACGTGGTTGCAGATCGTGAGAGTGCAGAGGTACTGACAGCCGAGGAAAAACCTTCATCAATGCATCTTCCCCAGACAGTCAGCCTGCAGTCAGTCAGCGCGCTCATCCTCACTCTGCATTCATTATTAATCACAGAATTTCACCGGCGCTCTACAAACGATGTGGGTTGAAGGGGGGACAAGTCGTGATAGAATATGCAATTGTGTGCATAATGCACAGCAGGTGAGGAATCAGGCTGATATGAAACGCAAATATTGCATCATGGCTTTGCACTTATTACTGTCAAATGAGGATGGCGGCGTCGGGGGCCAGTGGTGAAGTGTCAACACAGATCCCAGAGCAGAGAAAATGTATCTGACAGGGTGCTGTGTAAATAAATCTGATTGAATGTGGGTATTGGGAGTATGAAATTCTATCAGCTTGAGGCCGGGCCACTGATTTATTTTGTATTTTCATTCACCCACTGATATGCTTTGCTGAACATTCTTCACCACAATGTCTTCAGAGCCACCCAACACAGGCCTCTAAAGCACTGTGACCTTCAATGCTAGAGCAATGTGTCAGTGAAGTGTCAGAATTGGCCATTTACCAACACCCCTTTAGCCAAAGGAACCATCGACTGCCACCCAGAATAATCCCAGTCTCCCACTATTGACCTCTGATCATCTCCACAGGATGAGCTGCGAGGTTAAGTGCCATCAACTGGGGGTGGCAAGAGCCTCTTTTACTCATTTCACATCATCACTGACAATCAATCTGCCCAAACCAGCCTGATGTGCTGATGTCCTCGCCCCCCAAAGGAGGAGCTCAGTTGCAACAGCATTGCAAGTAGAATAAAATGAGTATAAATCAAAGTGCTGCTGTGAGCGGTGACTATGTGCCGAGATAATCCCCATTCAGCAGCGATGTAAGGAGTCGTCCAGGACCAGAGAGAGAGACCCAGAGAGAGACGAGGTGAAAACTAATGCAGCCTGGCTTAGCTTCCCCTTTGATGTTTGTACCAGAAATCCAAGGTGCTCAGAGCCTATCTGTCCTTGAAGTGCACACACCCAGGAATCCCTGGAGAGGGGGAGATATTCTAATCCGAGAGCCAGCTAAAACCTGGAGAGGAGAGTTAACATTGTGTTGATTTTTTCCCCCGAATTCACTGTGGGTGTCTTCTGATCATAGTTAGAGAGAAATTGCATGGATTCACTCACTAATGCATATTTAGCCTGAAGTCAGTTGTACATCTGGAGATACTTACCTTGTAGCGAGATGATTGTATACAACACCTTAAAGCAGTAGTTCATGTATGAATGTATGCTGTTAATGTTCAGTTGGCAATATGTGCTTCTTTCACAAGGAAGTAGTCTTAGTTTCAGCTTTTGGTTAAAAACTGTGACAAATGTAAAAAAAAGGTTAAAGAGCCCCTAATATGTTTTTGGGGTTTCCCATTTCCTGTAGTGTGTTAAATAGGTTTGTGTGAAAGGGAGGCTGTGGCTCAGTGGGTAATGTGCTGGACTTCGAATCAGGGGATAGCAAGTTCGAGTCCCACTGCAGTCAGCATGTCATTGTTTCCCTGGGCGAGACACTTCACCCCAAAATTGCTCCTGTGGGGATTGCCCACAGTACTGAATGTATCTAAGTCGCTTTGGATAAACGCGTCTAACAAATGACATGTAATGTAATGTTAATGGTCTGCAAAGGCTAAAGTTCCCTCCAGAGGAAGTGTATCTCCAACACAGTCCCCCCCTTGCCTGAAACACCTCCATTAGACTCCTTTGTTTTCTTTCTGAACATAGTGACATCACTATGGAAAACGTGCGCTTCTATTGGCAAAAGCTTGAACACATTGTTCATGATAGGGTAAGGGGCGGGACATCTCTAAGCGGTTGACCTATCATATCAGAGCCGGCCAGCTAACCAATCAGAGCAGACTGGGCTCTGGTTTCAGACAGAGGGTGAAAATAGGTGCTGCAGCACAGGCAGTATGAGAACAATTAAGAACTTTTTCAATATTAAGGCATGGAAACATGTCACAGTAGAGACAAAATATGAACCTGAACATTAGCACAATAGGTCCTAAATGTTGTTTTGTATTGCATCCACTCCCAAGAAAAGTAGCTTTTACTCTATAATGATTGTTGTCATGAATCAGTCTGAACCCCAGTTGCATATGAATAACATAATAATGTATAACGAACTGCTGTTGAACTCATTTTTGGAATCATAGCCTTTTTAAATAAATATTCCACCAGTTACTTGAAGTATGAGGCAATTTTTAAGGAACCATTACATCTTACTAAACTCAGAAAGCGTGCATTTGATGTCATCATCAATGACACTTTCAAGGGTGCCGTCGATCCAGCGGTTTTTGTTTCTTCAGTCATCAAAGGACGCAGAGCCATTGGACAGGTTGGCAGAATGATTCATCCCATGGTGTGAAGCATCAAAACCAATTTGCAGTGTTGGACATTAGTCTCTGTGTTTGTGTGTGCCGGTGATGTCTACATTTCTGAGGCAGTGTGTGTGAATACTAAGGTCAGGCTGACATATTGGTTTGTTGAAAGTATTGAGTTAGTGTCGCCTCATTATTATTACTCAGCTATTGGCCATGCAGACAAGAAGGATTGAAAGGTAGTCTGTTTCTTTTTGTGAAGCTACAAGGCTGACAATGTAATTATTTTAGCAGCAAATATAGCTGTTGTTTCTCTTGTTGCACATTATTGCATCTGTGTATAATTATTGTCCTGGGTTTCCTTGGGAAATATTACTGCCTGGAGAAATATTGACTGAATATTTAGTTTTTGGACATCTGCCAAAACCACATGTGGAGAAATGTGTATTTAGACAAAAGGTACAATTTAAATTCTGACATTTAATTGTAAGCCAGTTAGAGGCAAATACGTTTCAGACCAATTACAATCCTGAGAGAATAATGGATTAAACAACTTCAATTTAAAGATAGACATTTCAGGCAACATGTTTAACATTTATTGACAGACTTTCAAAGTTATAATGGATCAGCTTCAAGAAGTTTGGCTGCATAAAAGGAACTCTGATTACTTTATTTACACACGGCATCTATTGCACGTCTGTCCGTCCTGGGAGAGGGATCCCTCCTCTGTTGCTCTCCCTGAGGTTTCTCCTATGTTCCCCTTAAACTGTGGGTTTTCTCTGGAAGTTTTTCCTTGTACGATGTGAGGGTCTAAGGACAGAGGGTGTCGTATTGTCATACTGATATTCTGTACACACTGTGAAGACCACTGAGACAAATGTAACATTTGTGATATTGGGCTATATAAATAAACATTGATTGATTGATTGATTTAGCACCAAAAAACTGTTTTAGCAGTTCATGAGTGTGATTATACGGCTATAATCAGAAGCTCTTATGGGTTTCATCTGCATAAAAAGGTCCTCATCTTGGATACCTGGTATTTATTTTGGCATTCCCACTGTCAAGGTTAAAGGGTAGTAAAGCTAACAAACCCCCAATGTTTTAATAGCCAAGCTACTGTCAATGGGGACCACAGTTTTATCAATTCACTTGACAAAGATATTCTAAAAAGAGCAGTCTTCCGAATCATGCTGTGGTCTATCTACAAGGTGTATACTTCCTGTTTTGTCGCCGATATAACAATACCGATTGGCTGGTGATTATCTTCAACAAAAAAGGACAATATAGAAATGTACCTTGTAGCAAAAGTAAGTCAAGTGTTGTCAAGTTGCTGTATTTGCACTGGAAACTGAGCATTGCGAAAGCGTGTAAACCGAAAACAGCAGAGGACCGTGAACAAATCCCTGTGGCACACCAGAAGTCATTTGCACGAGAGGATGAACCAATTAAAATTAGAGCACCAGTATCAGATTACAGTTGTGATCTATGCTATATATGTGTCTCTTAACAAAGCACTGTCAGCAAGTTGGCTTATAATTAGTTTTATAATTTCATGTTCTGTTTTTTTATCCACAGATCTCCCCTGGCGGACTGAACAAACGAGTCGACTCTACGCCTGTCCTCAGTCTAATTGTGGTCTGACGGCACTCCCCGACATCAAAGGTACACCCACCTCTCTCTCTACACCTCCAGCCTCCTTTAATCACTTTGTTCGGCTCATCATTGCAGTAATTACATTTCCTGACAGTTTTTTTTGCAAATCCAAGACTCTGTTATCTCTCCTCAAGGGAGCTTCACTTCACTTTGTCGCTGAGGTACCTTGTTTGATTTTTATTTCGATACATTCAAGAGCTTTTTCCTCCAGGAAATTTACTGTGATTTCAATAATTCTCATCGTTGAATGAACTCAGGAAAATGCGTCACAGTTTTTGGTGGGTTTTAGAGAGGAGAGAGCATTTGTTCTGGTCTACACCGAATAGAGAATCAACCAATTATGTGTTTGAAGTCTTGTTGAAGATATAACCTGAGACACCTAATTTCAATTTGCATGTCTTACTGTACGTGCATGTCTTTGCTTTACTTTAAACTTGGATTTACTTTTTGTGCCTGTTCTTTTTTTAAGTAGTATGAAAGTACATCAGAAATAATAACTGATTTCCATGTCTATAAAGCTTTGTGCATTGCTTCTGGCATGTTCAAAGTAACCTTTTTGGTTCCACTTTAATCATATTCTCCCAATCAAGAACTGACTTAAAGCTCATACATATGCAGATGCTACTTGATGAACCTTGACCTGCTGACTATTAGCTGCTTATAATGTAAGAACTACAGCTTTTTATTATATAATATCCTAAGTGGAATTCGGGTCAGAATGTAATGCAATGTCAACATTTAAATGGAAGAGAAAGCGCTTTAAAAATGAAAGCTTTACTCCTATTAGTAGAAGCTTTGAACCACCGAACTGTAGCATGTTTCTATCATGGTTAGGTATATCAGTATCAATTAGTCGAAATGAACTGATCCATCTCTTCAAAGAGACTAGAACATAAAGTATTTGCATCGAAAAGTATTTTTTGTTTGTCATTGTTTTCCGGCCTCAAATATTCCACATAGCGAAGTGGTTCAAAGGATGAAATAAAATATGGATGGTAAATGGCTACATTCCTTTTCTTCAAGCTGTGAAGGTGATCAGCTATGGACTCCACAAACCTCACTAAGCTTTGCATATCCAGGCATCACTCAGCCATACCCCTCTGGGAATTAACACTCACTTTAATGTTTCTCAACGCAACAAGGACTAGAATCCTTAATGTACAGTAAGGGAGGTTTATTGCTGGTGACAGTGGATTTAAAGATATGTAGACTCTTAAAAACGTTAGTGACTAAGTGTGTCAGTCCAGTGTTACTAAAGAGTATTATATATTGGAAATGACAATCATCTTCTGGTAACCATTCATTACACTTCCACTTAAATGTGCATTGTGTTTTATTGAAGTCTTCTCCCTGCTACAGTTCTACTCTAAAAAACATTTTTGAAAAATATATGAAGATCCAGAGATAATGTTTTTCTTTATAAGTACTGTAGGACTTATTCAAACAGACTTTCGTGTGCATAAGTAGTACTTTCCAATACAGCAGATTGTCATTATGACAAATCACATAACCATCAGACACTCTCAGCAACAGCTTTGACATATTCTCTTAAGAGCTTGAAATGTCTGGCTATGAAATTACTAGGCTCTTCATATTGCACATTTCCATTCTTACTTTTTAAGTTCCCTCTTTAAAGAGATTCTGGAAGTTTCAGGAAAAATGATTCTCTCTCTCTTTGTCCTGATCCAGTTATCAGGATGTGTCTGAAAATGAGCTGGTCAGATTTTGGCCACTTTATGATGTCATAAAGATTTGTTGGCTTGTGTAACCATTAGCCAATCAGCAACCTAGGTACCCCCCCCTTATCACCTGAATCTAATCTCCTCCTAGAGCACCATTGTGTTCTTTGTAACCAAATATCTTTCAGAGGGGCGTGGGGATGGGCTCCTTATTTTCATCTAAAGTAACAGACAGAGAATCAGCTCTTTGGAAACAGGGCTGAAACAGAGGGGATTATGATCTGTTTGGTATTTCAGCCAAACACTTCAGAGACATGTTTTGTATATATCTGAGACCTATAATGTATTGATGAAAAACAGTATAATAGGGGACCTTTAAGTATATTATTATCTACAGCAAAAAGTGGGTAGATTGATCATTATTCCAACCACCTCTTGCATTCACAAGCTGGGAGCAGTGGCGGCTCCAGGGTATGGCTGGGGTAGGCTACAGCCATACCAAGAAATGGCTTAGCCCCACCATGAAAAATTATGTTAAAGTAAGCCAAAAAAAGTCCGCCAACTCGCGCGGAGTAAATTGCACAGATAGCAGCAAGATTGATTTCAGTAGCCACTGGAAATGCCGAAGACTAGAAACAGTTTTGAAAACTTTTGTCACGTAGTGATCGTCTTCTCAATAAAACATCTTTGATAATGTCTTCTGGCCAATCAGAATCAAGATAACGGCGTGGTGTTGTTGCAGGAAGTCCCGAGACTCCCGACGGAGAATAATTTTGCGGTAGAACTACTCTTTATACATCCATGGATACAACATTACGTGTTGATTTCTATCAACACGTAATGAAATAAGACCCCACGGTTTGATGATTGATAGGTGTGTGGGCTGTCTTTCATGTTGACACACAGAACAATGGGGGCTATCCACCCTTATCCACAATGTAAAGTAATTCACAGCCTCTTCCCTCTTCTCTCTGTGAGGAGCAGCAGGTTCAGCTTTCAGAACAAAGTAACAAAAAACTAAAATGGCGTGAAGTAATATATTTATTTATTTTCTTCTCAAGAGTACCATAATGTGTATTTTATGTTAGTTTTTCAAAATCTCAATTTTGATTGAGACAGGGAAATAATCTAAACCTCACGCGTGGCGTTTCTCTGTCAAGGGGGGCGATATAGCGTGTATGTAATTACATTGCAAATACTGACTTGAGCCCCACCACTGTATGAGTTAGCCCTACCATAGATTACCCAACAAAAATACTCCGGAGCCGCCACTGGCTGGGAGCAGGTGTTTTTAAATACCCAATTATGCCTCTGGGAGCTGCATCCTCAGATGGCCATATGATGGGTTTAGACAAGGAATTAATTTGAGCTGCAATTACAGCCTCTAGAAAGGGGCAAATTGGCGGTGAGGGGGGAGGAAGAACCCCACCACCCACCTATTCCCTAATCAGGTAAATGTTGCTAACTCAATATTGGGCACTGATGGTCACACTCAATTATCCTCATCTTTTACCTCCCAATCTGTTCCCCATCCCCCTAATAAACCCGTATCTGAAACTCCCAAGACACACGCCACATATTGCTTCTGTTCTAGGCCTACTCATTTGCAATAGTCTTCCATTGACTCTGCTTTGAATCCTGATATACTGTAAGACCAAAGTCAAAGTACTTTAGATAATTTGGCTTTGTGGCTAAGAGTTAGGTGACAATGTCATCCTGCCTTCCTGTAAATATGAATTATATTCTATGTTATCTGTTTTATTGTGTTGCACTGTTGGAGGAGCCTGTGACCTAAGATTTTCATTGTCATAACTACACTGTAGCTATTTACAAATGACAATAAAAGTCATGAAAATGAAGCTACAGTTTGCAACAGGTTAGCAAAGCTTAGCATTGAGACTGGAAACAGCTAACTTTGCTTGGTTAAAAGGTAACTAAATCCACCTAGCAGCTTTCTAAAATGGTATATCTTGTCTGTTTCATCTGTAGTGACTCACCCTTCCAAGAAATAGTGGTGCCATGCCATTGTGTCAGTGGCCATTTTTTCCGAAAAACTCAATAATCTAAAAACGTTCCCATTGGACCGAAAGCCCAACTCTGTATCCCAATAACAAAAGGCAATTTATCAACCCTTTGTTACGAAAACACACTCTAAAATCTTGTCTCCCATAATGTGCTTGAAGATCTAACCATTGTTATATGTAGCCTGACTTTCCTCAAAGAGTAAAACCTCATTTGACTTCCCTCACACTTACATAACACTTGTAGGCTGCACAGCATGAAGGGTCTAACACCAATAACTCAGTGAATTACAGGTTCTCTTCACAAGTGTAGAATGAAGATTTGGTAAGATCTGCCCTTGGCATCTGTCAACATTGGTGGTTTCAAAAGGCAGTGAGTGGAGAGCCATACATCTATAATGTCCTCTGACTGCACACAGCAGACTGATACCAAGCCATTTTGTGATGCTTTGTATCAAAGGAACAAGAGATCAAATGTTTGGGTATACACAAATAAAATAATCTCATCTTGCCAATGGGGAAATCACCAAGGTTTCAGTTCGGGCAGATAGGACATGCTTCTCCTTTGAAGCCCTATTTTGTGATGTAGTTGCGGTTTCATATAGGAATATAGCCAGACAGAAAAAAAAACACCTCTTAAATGATTGCCAGTTTACTGCACAGAGGAGTAAAATGGCAGAGGGTCTTGTCATTGGAATATGTGAGTTTGATGGCCCTTGAGAATAAGATACCAAGGATTTATTTCCGGATTTTCCAGCAAGCCTTTGAAGTGAACAAATGCTGCATCTCATCTGCCGAGCCCGTTCAAATTGTGTGTGTGGATATATTTATTGCTGGGCTATTTTTAGGATTTGTGCTGAAGTGTATTTATACTTGAGGAAAAGCCTAGCGACACTGAAGCTGGTAGTAAGGTCCTGCATAACCTCTAACCATGTAATATGAGCTGGTTTTTCCCTTCAATTAAAAAAGCAAACACCTTAAGAGTAGTCAAATCCCCAAAACGTTTCTTTCCTGTGTAGAAAACGGTTTCAGTTTTGATTAGTGATCATCCTTACCACTCGTAAATATCCGGAAGTGGCCATTTCTAACCCTTTCAGTTGAATTATGATATGTTTCCATCACATGAAGTTAGGGGCGTATGTAATTGAGGTTGAGGTTAAACGTGCAGACCTTTGCCATTTTTTGGATCCCCTCTGATGCAGACCATTAGCAAACATCTGTTGAACCAAAGCTTTAAAAAAAAAAACAAGGCTGTCATGGTGGCAGAGGGGAATTTTTCCGATGCCCCTCCCTGTGCTATTTTAAGTAGGCCCTGAAGTTTGTGTTTAATGATAAGCTGTGGGGCGTAGCTGACATGCCTGCAATATTATTCCCTTTACGACTCAGGAAGCAATGGCAACATTTCCCCCCAACCCTTCAGGGGTGTGAATTATTTAAACTCCATCATGAAGTATGTCCAATCAACATGGCTAATAGTACCCTTTTGCTGTGGGTTATCTCAAGTGGTGGATAGCTTTGGAAATAGATAAGGATGCTATTTTTGTAAGTAGGCATTACCCAGAACTGTTCCCATTCTTGAAACTGAGTTACCAGCTGATGACTCATGCCAATCAAACATTATGTATTTCATTTGAATTTGAACACACTGGCTAAGTAATGAGAGATCATGTTTCTATATAAATTACCAAAGGAGCCGATTCTTTCATTCATATGGATGTGGAGTTGAATTTTAAAACACAGGCTCCCCGGTATCGATGCATTGTGAGGAAGAGTGAAGGAAGAGTCGTGTCAGACGAGACTCCACTCCAGATAAATAAATGATCAGTGCGCCACAAACATCAAAGAGGGATTGTGTGCTTCAAAGGGAATAAGGGCCTCACAGGTCCTATAGTGAAGAATGAATTCAGTGTACACACACACACACACACACACACACACACACACACACACACACACACACACACACACACGTTTCTATAATGCAACCTGTTTAACATTCTAATGGTAGCATCTGCATTGATCATGCCCTGTCGAGCCAAACCAATGCTCCTCAATCTTAGTCTGTTTTGGTGGCACGATCAGCTGGAAGATTCCCAAAATGCTTTGATAAAATGTGTCTCTTGAATCATTATTCATGTCTATGTTTTTGTAAATGCACCTTCCCTTTTTTAACCCTCTGGTGCCTGAAGAAGCACTCGCACATGTGTTGTTTTAAAGCCCTCATTCCTACAATACCTGACACATCTTGGTCACAAGGTTTCATCTCACAGACACCGTTAATGTGCGTATAAATTAAGCTGACTCGCCTAAAGTGACCATTGGTTGTGTTTTCTTTTCCAGCCAGAAACAAGTGTCTCTCTCTCTGGTTGAGCAGTGTAGTCCAAGTGCAGGACATTATGTCACATCTGCATACAAAAAGACAAATCACTTGTTCTGTATCTGGCAACAATTTGCATATTAGCAGTATATTGACTCTTTATTAGTCATTATAAAACACTTTATAATGCCTTCTTCTACATGACCATATTCTAAAAGTACTAGGCCCATATTGAGCAGAGCATATTAAGACCAAAACTCATGTACAACAACTTCCTTACTTGCAATAAATAAGCACTAATTAGAGGGTTATTGAGGAAACACTCTCAACTTGGCCTATACGATGTGAGGGTCTAAGGCAGTGGTTCTCAAAGTGGGGGGCATGCCAGGGGGGGGGGGGGGGGGGGGGGGGGGGGACGCGAGAGACCAGGGGGGAAAAATGGTTATTAAAACAAACAAAAAAAAGATTTAAAAAAAAAAAAAAAAATCATAAATTGAAAAATTATTTATTCGAAAATAATATGATGCCGTACTATTACGTCTGGGTCTCTGTGTTTCATTAAAGCTTGGCTCTCTGTGTGTGTGAAACGAGCCATTTTGTGTGCGCGAGAGAGAGAGAGCGCACCGGTACCGGAGATCGTTGTTGTTAGCTTCTGGTGCTAGCGAGCTACGCTAACGGATATAAGGAGTTTTTTCAACAACAAAGTGGAGGAGAGTCCTCTCCTGTGAGACTGAGAGGCTCGGTGAGCTAAAGGACTCTGAGTGTTTAGATAGTTAACTTTAGTCTAAGTTATCTCAGTGGGTCTCAAACGTTTTGGTCACGATTAATGTAAACAAGTATTTCCGAGGCACACGTTTATATGATCATTATAGTTATAAAAAAATAAGAGAATAAATGAAAAACAGGTATGAAATACTATATGACAGTAAAACAAGAATAAAGTTTAAAAGGGTGATTTGTAAAATATCCATAAAGAAAAAGTAAATCTGCTTACAGTTCTGTTTCATAGGTGTTGAGAGATGTATCCATAGATCTCTTAATTTTGCTCTCAAAGTGCACCAGATTGATGCTTTTAACTTCAATATTTAATTTTATTTAATTCTCCAAAGGGGGGGCCTGACAGAAAAAGTTTGAGAACCAGTGGTCTAAGGACAGAGGGTGTCGTTTTCTCATACTGATATTCTGCACAAACTGTGCTGTTGTATTTGCTGTAAAGTGTCTTTACTGTAGGTTATTTTTTATTATATGTGTTACATATAATAAAAAATAACCTACAGTAATAACTAACCTACAGTAATAACCAATAATAATAACAGTAATAACCAATAATCGTTTTTTAAACCATTTTTGGTCGAGCCAAAATGTTGTACTTTGGCTCGACCAAAAATCATTTAAAAATGTGCTATATAAATAAAACTTGATTTGATTTGATTACTTGTAGAATAAGGCATTAATAAGTGTTTTATAATGACTAATAAAGAGCTAATATGCATGTTAATTAACAACTAGTTGATGGTGAATTTGTGTACCTTAATATAAAGTGTTACCAAATGTCCTTGTAAAACAAAAGTGAAATGTCTTGAGAAATAGACGTGGCCTGGATTAACCCACTTTGTGGCAAACAACGAGTCCCTGTTTCCTTCTTCTCTGTGCAGCATTATCCTTTGAATGCAAATGTACTATTTTTAAAACACTGCATATGCACGTTTGTCATCAAGCAGTAGACAAAAGAAAAACCATCAAAACCATCAAGAAAGAAATGCTTCACAAACCCTGGATGTTTTAAAAAAAAAAAGCGTATATGTTTACCATTAAGGGGAAATAGGAGTCTGAGGAAGCACATGTTGCTTTTCATTTATTTTAACATCTTGCTTTTTCTCTTTTATCCTCCCGTTGTTTTTCTTTCCCCTCTCTCGCAGCTCTCCGTTACTCTTGCTGTCTCATCCTTCTTCTAAGAGTGGGGGATGTCTGTTTTCTAACACCTTTCAGCCTGCTTATCTACTCGGTCTGTATTGCTGTAATTTGGTATTTTCCAACCCCATTTGTTATTGTGCCTTTAACCCTCTTGATATCACGCCACCATCGGTTATGGGTATCAGGGTGTGTGTGACAGTGATATGCATTGTGGCTTGCAACTCTTATCCAGAAATCTCGATTGTTCGTGATAGGCAGTGTGGTCGGCCTGGGTGTTTGTTTGTTTGTGGGAAGCCTGCATGTGTTGGATCCGTGCCTGAAACAGTGCTTTTGTGTGTCATTGCTCCGTGCATGGCTATATCAAATGAAGACAATGCTATTCTTTCACACTAGCTACGATTGTTCATTTATAATATGGTAACATCAGTCCTTTCCACCATTTCAACTCCAACGTCCAAAAACAATAACCTTTGTTTTTGTGAGTGTGCACTGCGCTGTTTCATTCCCCTTTGTTGTACTTGCTATTGGAGGATCATATTTTCATTTTGTTGCACTGATATTCCAGCAAAACTCTGTTGAATGTTTTATGTGATGCTTTTAATTACAACAAAGACTCCAACTTCTGAAAACAAAACTTTAATTGGCACCCAGCAGAGTGTCTTCTTCTGGGCATGCAGTATCAGAGACTTCTCCATGCAGTCACGCTGTGTGGGGAGAGTTTCAGCTTGTCCCTTCAGGGTACTACTGGCTCTTGAAAGCACCGTCTAACATAAACATATTTGACTGTAACAGATATACTCTCTGTTCTACCATAGTCATCCAGTCATCTATCCAAATTGTTCCATTTTGATATGTAATGTCGGTCTTTTGTTCATGTTTAAAGCTTCTACTGAATGGCAAACGTCCTATCTTGGCGTTGACTTTGAAATTGCATCAGTGTGTTGATGCTGCTCGCCCAGCCTGTTGGGTTAGGGCAGGGGTGTCAAACTCAAGGCCCGGGGGCCAAATCCGGCCCGCGACTTCATTTTATGTGGCCCGCAAGAGCTTGCAAAGAATATAATACCTTTATTATACGGTTACATGCCACTTTACATAAGTTGGTTGCCCATAAACTACATGTCCCACAATGCATCTCATTTTGTGACATGCACACTGAAGAGACTTGCAATTATTTGCCCTGGACTTCTGCTTTCATATGTAGTTAGTTATTACCATATCCGATAATAATCCAATTCAGAGGCAATAATGTAATATAATACATTATTTTATATATATATTATATATTTATATATGTATATTTATTTATATAGTTACAACCGGCCCTTTGAGTGCAACCACAATGCTAATGTGGCCCGCGATGAAATTGAGTTTGACACCCCTGGGTTAGGGTGTCTTTAATGACCTGGTGCCCCCTTCTTTTCCCTCATGGAAGATCTGTACATCTGCGACCAACACTGGACATGGAGGACTATGACGTTCGCTCGGCCGCCAGCATCATGGCCTCGGTGAAAGAGCAGGAGGCGCGCTTCGAGCAGCTGACCCGAGCCCTCGAGGAGGAGCGTCGCAATGTCACCCTGCAGCTAGACCGCTCCGCCCTGCCTCCCAACACCCCAACCAGCCAGCCGCTAGCATGGCAGCAGGTGGTGATGCAGGTAAATGATGCCAACGCCCCCGTCATGTTAAACCACCAACCAGCACCACCATGTGTCTACCTCTCTTCCTCTTGAAAGCGTCATTCTTCTGCCCCCTTCTTTCATCCGAGCATGCCCATTGCATCGTCATGTCTCCTCATGGTCATTGCTTTGCATAATTGTTGGGATTCAATCATCTCTCTGTTCAATTTCCCTGTGATTTGGGGACCCTTTGTCTGAACCCACTATCCCTGGTGTTGTGCAATAATCTGCTCTGTGGTGACTCATCTTCGAAAGGCAAGCTTGATGAGATTCAACCTCTCATTTCTTCCTTGCCCAGCTCTGGCCAATGCATCTGGGACATTTGTGTCCTGGCCTGTGCTCCTTTCGATGCTGGCGGACTCTCTGCAGGAGCAGGAAATGTAAGATGCAGAAATGAGACTGCTTTAATCCTCCCCAAAAATGCCAGCAGTCATACATGATGAATTGGAAATGGGGGACCCTGATGTAAACAAGACGAAAGTCTTTCTGTGGTCTGCATCCCCTTAACAATTGTATGTTTTGAGCTGTACTGTACTGTACCCAATATACAAGCTGTTAATACACTTTTCAATCAATCAATCAATCACAATAGCCCATTGCTTTACACGGAAAAGAAAGAGCATCCTCTCAGACTGTACACATGTTTTACTAACCATTTGAGCGCACTATTTGGCACCTGCATCACTTTTAATCATGGTAAAGCTGGCAGCCTCATGTTTTATTAATATACCAAGACGTATAGAGATGAAACTGCTTCGCCTGCATTTGTCTGCAGTCACATTTTGTTAACCGTCGTGTCAGTGTTCATTTTAAAAGGGCTTGCTGCCAATTTGGCCTCAACACGAGATAATGAAGAGGATTTGGAATTATAGCATCATAGCAGGGTGAAGAAAAATGGTCACCCACCACAGGGATGCTTTTATATATTTGTGTGTGTGGTAAGAGTGAGATACCCTCCCCTCCTCATAAACGGGTCCATGATTTACTACACAGTGCTTGACATCACAGGCGGTGAATTAACTCCCTCTTATGCACTCACTCACAAATCAGACTCACAGATAACCTCTACCCTGGTTGTCTGAGCAATTGAGAGTCAATTGGGCATAACGTACTACAACCATACCCAATAGTGCTGTCATTCGGTCACCAGGCATTTGACTAAAGCCTTATCATCAACACCTATAAATGCCAAAGCAAATTGGATGTACGGATGGTGGGGGGTGGGGTCAGTGTCTGCTCAGGGGCAAGAAGCTTGGCAGCGTGTGTGGTCAGTCGAGAGAGGGTTGTGTGTGTGTGTGTGTGTGTGTGTGTGTGTGTGTGTGTGTGTGTGTGTGTGTGTGTGTGTGGGGGGTGGTATGTGTGGCCTAGCATTACTATACTTGTCTACACTATAAATCTGTCTACACAGTCATGTGTGGGGACTCGCCTCCCTTATGGGGACAAATTGGAGGTCCCCATAAGGGGAATCGTTAATTTTAGGGTGAAGACTTGGTTAGGGTTAGGTTAAGGGTAAGGGTTAGGGTTAGGGTTAGGCATGTGTTGGTTATGGTTAAGGTTAGGATAAGTCTCCAGGAAATGCATTTAAGTCAATGTAATGTCCCCTGAAGTGATGTATACATGGTATGTGTGTGTGTGTGTGTGTGTGTGTGTGTGTGTGTGTGTGTGTGTGTGTGTGTGTGTGTGTGTGTGTGTGTGTGTGTGTGTGTGTGTGTGTGTGTGTGTGTTGCACCATGGGACCATCTCCATTTTCATTTTTTATAATGAGGGGGTGTGAGCGATGAGGATTACATCAGGTTGTTCTCTTTTTTTTTCTGTCTCTTCTTCACTTAGTTCCTCACACGCACTCCCCAGGTTGCAAAACTATCATTAACTGAGAGTTCGGATTCACAAACCCAGGGTTAGCCTTAATGAGGCCTGACATTAACTAAAGTTGGGGTCAGAAAAGGAAAAGTGGCTCCAAATAGACACCTAATGCGAGTGATAAGCCACTCATTTAAATGGCACATTTCGTCATGTTCATTTCGGAACAGATCGGGTCCAAAGAACAACTAAAACACATTCAACACAGGCAGCGAAAGGTTCCTTTAGTTCACAGAGATAAGTGTATATTACTTAACACATTCACACAACACTTTGTCACTTCAAACAGTGGAAACTCTCAACACTTCGCCTTTTTACTTGAAGCCTCCACCCTCAGTTTGTTGAGTTTAACACGGCCTGCTCTTCAGTCCAGTGCACTCTGGGTGGAGGTGAGGCATGGCCCTGGACTGCAGCCAAATGGCTTAAAACTAATCATACGGTGATGGATTGACAGTTTTATGTGGAAATATGGCAGTCATTTCCTCGTCAAGAAAATGCGTAGTCCTTCTAGCTATTTCGTTTGGTGACAAATCGTCTTGTTAATGGTCACGTGAATATTACAATGTTGCATAATAGCGAACACTTTGGCTGCTCAGCTCTAAAGATTGCAACGTTCGATGGTTGGTCGGTACACCAGTTTAGTTATCCTGTAGGATATTTGGGATATCCATCGTAGCCAGGGTTTACGATCAGTTTTTAGGTGAGTTGTACTGAGGAACAAGTATGACAGCACCGACGGGTGAAAAATAGTGCTTAGGTAACACGGGGTGTTCAGGTAACACTTAAAGACTTTGTTATGGAACGCAAAGCAGAGTAGGGGGCTAGTACACCCTCCTGAGGGTCTGATTGTGGATGTCATGCGAGCATAACATGGTGAAAACCGTCTGAAACTCCATGACATTTATGAGAGGGACTGCTCGAAAGTAGGATATTTGGGATATCCATCGTAGCCAGGGTTTACGATCAGTTTTTGGGTGAGTTGAGGAACAAGTATCACAGCACCGACGGGTGAAAAATAGTGCTTAGGTAACACGGGGTGTTCAGGTAACACTTAAATACTTTGTTATGGAACGCAAAGCAGAGTAGGGGGCTAGTACACCCTCCTGAGGGTCTGATTGTGGATGTCATGCGAGCATAACATGGTGAAAACAATCAGTCTAAATTAACAATCGGGACGGAAATGTTCGGATTTCCAAAGGGAGGTTCTGTGAATAAATTAAAAATCAAGAACCGAAATAATTGAACTTTTCATATCTTAGACTGCACTGTAACTTTTATATTTTGATGTTTATTTTATTAGCTTTTCTTTTTAATGACTGATTTTAAATGCCATTTTCTTAATGTCTTTCATTTTTTGTTTTTCTTTTAATGTTTCTTTTATTATCTTTTACTGTTTTTAAATGCCTTTGTCTGAATGTCTTTCATTTTTGTAAAGCACCTTGAATTGCCTGGTGCTGAAAGGTGCTATATAAACTTGCCTTGCCTTGCCTTGCCTTGCCTTGCCTTGCCTTGCCTTGCCTTGCCTTGCCTTGCCTTGCCTTGCCTTGCCTTGCCTTGCCTTGCCTTGCCTTGCCTTGCCTTGCCTTGCCTTGCCTTGCCTTGCCTTGCCTTGCCTTGCCTTGCCTTGCCTTGCCTTGCCTTGCCTTGCCTTGCCTTGCCTTGCCTTGCCTTGCCTTGCCTTGCCTTGCCTTGCCTTGCCTTGCCTTGCCTTGCCTTGCCTTGCCTTGCCTTGCCTTGCCTTGCCTTGCCTTGCCTTGCCTCTAATGGAAAACCAGAGAAGAAGTTTATTTCTGAAATTAGACATGCTGTTGACCCTGGCGTGCACATTTTTGCTAAACCTGCCATTCAAGAGCAGTGGTTGAATTGCACACATCCCTCCTCCTTGAGAGCAATCCTGGCTTTCAATGGTGGGTCATTTCTTTAGTAGAAGCGGGAGGGCTGAAGCATAGCTTATGGGGAGTAGCCCTCCCGTGCATCATCATTAGCATCAATATAATAATGGCATTTATTTAGTCAAAAACGTATAGAAATTAAGGAGTAAAAAGAAATAAAGAAAACTAATGAAAACTGAAAAAAAAAAAAAAAAAAGTTTAGGGCAAGAAAAAAGTAAATGCATATAAGTAATACTGGGAATATCAAATACTTGTTAGCTGGAGTAATCTGCAAATAGAATTGTTTTTACTTTAGTTTTGAATTGTTGATGACTAGTAGTTTGAAGCACTTTGAATTGCCTTGTGTTGAAAAGTGCTATATAAATAAACTTGCCTTGCCTTGCCTTGTAATACTTGAAATGTCTGGGTGGAGTCCATTCCACGTTCTAACTCTGATTATGGATAAGCTGTGTGATTGGACGGTTGTTCTACAGGGCTTGCTACACAACCAGTTAGGATGCCTGGTTGGGTATTTCATGACTGTGGTTTGGAACTGCTTTTGAATGTTAGTAGGCATTTTGTTATGGTAAATGTTGTGCATAATCAGTACTGTTTTAAGCTTGACTATATCAACACATTTGAATAGATTGAGTTTTTTAAATATGGGAGTTGTGTGTTCATATTTACCAACACCACAGTTGTTGAGTACGTGTTTCCCCATATTTCAGAGCAGTAATAAAGGTAAGGGAGAAATAGACTGTTATAAAGAGTTCTGAGTATTTTTTCCTCGAGAATGTTCTTAGTATGATACAAAATACCTATTGTTTTTGACAGTTTAGTCTGTACATAATTTATATGGTGCTTCCAGTTGAGTTTTTCATCAACAATGAGTCCTAAAAATGTACATGCACCAACTTTCTCTATCTCAGTATTGCAAATCCGTATAATGCAGTCATTTCTACTCTCTGACTTTGTATTGAATAACATGTCATTTGTTTTGGCCACATTAAGTGATAATTTATTAACTGCAAACCAATTACATAGTATTTCTAATTCTGCATTAACAATTTTAACAAGATCACCAAGATTATGATGGGAGCAGAGAATGGTGGTATCATCGGCAAACAAAATGAATTTTAACATGTCTGAGGTGTTGATAATGTCATTAATATAAATCAGGAACAGTTTTGGACCTAAGATTGATCCTTGAGGGACTCCACATGTTATAGGAAGATTGTTTGATTTCGC